CCCCCCCCCCCCCCCCCCCCCCCCTCTGGAACACGCAGACATGATCGTTGCTGCTTCTTTGCAAAAACAAAATCGACCCCCCATCCACCACCATTACCCCTCCGCGCCGTAAAAAGGTTACACGGGAATGCGGTACCGTACTGACAGCATGATTTAATACTCCCATCTCATACCTAAAAACCACCATGTGCTTGATTGACACTTCTCTCCTACAGTCGCTCTTACTTTATCCGGGCGTACGACGATCAATCTTCGGGAAGGCAGGAGGCGGGGATGAGTGCTTACACTACTAGGAAAAACGAAAAAACGTCCAGTCCAACAAGCAAAGGGCGGGACAGAACAGCGCCTATTTTCGTTCAAACTTCACACGCACTCGCCTCTTGGGAAAAGGAAAGGAGAAACGGAGAGAAAGAAAACGGCGCGCCAAAAAACTTCGCTTGCGATACGCCGGCTGCCGTTACAAGAGAAAGTACTTTACGACGACAATCACAGGGCATGTGCTGCTGAGCAGGAAAAAGGCGGCTCCCACGCACATCTATTATCTATCTTGGATCCCCCCCCACCCCCCCCCCACCCCCGGGCTTTCTCCCCCAGAGAGCCAAACATGTACCATAACTTTGGCGTGGCACTGCCTCTGTTGACGGCGCCTGCCCACAAGCGTGACTATTGGACTTCCCACCTTCATGCCCCCCACTGTACCCACCCCTTCCCACAGGCACCCTCCCTTTTCATCACATCCGACATCCGACACTCGCGAGAAGGTGCGTAAAACACTCAAAAAGGTAGACAAGGAAGACAGTTTTAAAAATACGTGCGCAACTAAGCTCGAGTCGATTCCACCTCCCCCATCCACAACAAGCATCAAGTTACAAGTGAACGGCCTGCGCGACGAAAAAAAAGGGGGCCAAGCGAAGAGTCAGTCGCCACAGGCCAAAAAAGGCGCGCTTACCAAACTTAAAAAAAAAAAAGTGGGCGCAACGAAAAGACGGCGTGTGTTGCTTAGTCTTGACGATTGCTATTCGGTCCCACCGGCGGGCCAGGTCTACAAAACCACCGTGCGCTGGCCCGGCATGACTTACAACTCCACGGAGCCCCCCCGAAACAGCACACCATCACGACAAGGGAGAGTGCAGCACACAAAAAAACAGCACCACCGTTCTTGGCGTGGGCCGCCCGCGGTTAGCCCAACGGAGCCAACCCGGGGGGGGGCATGATCGAATAGGGCGGAGACGCCCTGCGCACGACCCCGCCGCCGCCGCCGCCGGTCGCCATCATCGAGCCCTCGTCAGCGTAGCCCAACCGCATACCGGCCTTGGCCGCGTCGTCACTGAGGACGGACCAGTTGAGCGGGTCGGTCGCCGCCGCCCCGCCGCCTACCGAGGGCTCGCCTTTGCGGCCGGCCCCGCCCCCTGCCACCGAAAACGAGAAAGCGGGCGGGGGCGACAGGGAACGGTTGTACGGCCCGGCATGCTGCTGCTGCTGCTGCTGCTGCTGCTGCTGCTGCTGCTGCTGCTGCTGCTGCTGCTGCTGGAACACTCCGCCCACGCCGCCAGCCTCACCGAACGGCGAAGGTCTTGGCGACACCCCCCGCTCGCAGGACTCCTGCGCTACGAGGGGAGGGATCGCCGCCCATACCTCCGCCGCGGGGCTTTCCGTTGTGTCCGGGCTGCCCCAGCCCGCGCCGCCTAGGCACGCCAGGTCCCATCCGTCCGCAGTGGCGTTGGCCGAGGCTGTCGGGGAAACCGGCACAACAGCATTGCCGGTGTCGATGGCGGCGCCCGGCTTAGCGGTGCGAGGGTTGTCCAGCTGCGCCATGCCGGGTTGGTCTGACACAACATGGGGAAGCCAGCGTACGGAGAGTCGTGAGCGCGAGGCAGAGAAGGAAAAAAAAAAAAAGTACGAGGGGATACGGAGCGCCACCTTGGCGAGAAAAGGAGTTTATGAGGAAATAGCAACAGGGAGGGGGCATGCAGACCGTATGCCCATCTCTTCACACCCTAAACCCAGCTTCCCAACGTGTTTCCTTACAAACAATCGAAACAATCTCGCGCGAAAGCTAGTACATTTATTCACTCACTGCCGTGCGACGAAGAGCGCGGCTCCTGGCGCCCGAAGATCTTGTCGAAGGACGGACACCTAGTGGGCGTCGGCCCGTGGCCGGCCTCGTCGGCCGGAGGAATCCCGCCCTCGTCACCTCTCCCGCCGCCGCCGCCACGCCACCCCGTTCCGCCGCCCATGATGTAGAGCCCCCCTCCCGGCGCGTCCTGTCCAACGGGCCCCTGCGCCTCGGAGTGGTACATCATAGCCGGCGACGAGCGGGCAAACGTCGCCGCCGTGGACGAAGGCATGGGGTCTCCTCTCCGGCCGTCCAGCACATCGACCTCGGCATCACGGCCGCCGCCACTGCCGCCGCCGCCGCCGCCGCCAAACATCACCGGGGCGGGGCTAACGAGCACGGGGTTGCTCGGCCCGAAGGTGTTGGTGGGCGCGCCGCTGCTGCTGGGGGGGTGTCCGCCGTAGCCATTGCGGCGGCACATGTCCGCCAGGCTCGGAGACACGTCCTGTTGGAGCCGGAACGGCGGGACGAAGCTCTTGCTGCAGTCGAGGCTGGCCGGGGTGGTGGGCAGCAGGACCGGGGACACCGCCTCTTCCACCGACGAGGCCGCGGAAGAGGAAGCCGTAGTCCACGTGCCGCCGTCATCACCGAGGCTGCTGCCGTTCACGGCCGGCACGTCCCAGCGCCCCGTGTGCCGGCTCCACACGGACGAGAACTCCTGCAGGGAGGGATTCCGCTGCCCGGCCGCAATCTCTTGCGCAGAGATCGGCCGCTGCTGGTGGTGCAGCTGTTCCTCGTTGACGCGCTGGTGTTGCTGCTGGTGCTGCTGCTGGGGCCAGGGGCGGGGTGTGTGACGTGTCTGCTGTGCCGCCGGGGTAGTGCTGGCGATTGCTGCTGCGGCTGCGCGACCCGGCTGCTGCTGCTGCTGCTGCTGCGACGGGGCTGGGAAGACCGTACTGCTGCTGTCTTCGTCCCCTCTCGGACTTGCACGTCCGACGGCCTCGCCACCACCGCTCGCCAGCTTGCGCCGAAGGCCGCCACCGCCGCTAGCAGAGGTCGTCGCGGTGCTCACCGCAGAAGACGAGGATGGCGTGACGTCACGGCAGCGCCGGGCCTTCTTGCGGGCGGCCTGCCGGCGGGAGCCACCGCCGCCGCTCTCGCTGTTGTCCGCTGACTCGCCTTTCCGGCCCCCGGCCTGCTGCAGCTTCGGGCGGCGGACAGAGGGTGCCAGTGCGTGCGCAGGCCGCTTGACGACCGGGTTTCCACTGGGGCTGAAGGTGGCGTTGGCGTTGGCGGCGCCGACGGTGTCGTTCACGACGCGACGCACCTGGGCGAGGAGGTCAGATTGATCGCGGCGGAAGAAAGGGTGGGAGTACGTGCGGTCGGAGCAGTCCGCCACCTTCCGGAAGCCGTACATGTTGAGCTGCCTCTGGAAACTCGAGAACTTGCCATGCCGGTAGTTGGCCGTCAGGACCTGCGTCTCGAAGTCCTTGTCGTTGTGCACGGTGAACGAGTTTCCTATGGAGGGGGAGAGAAGCGGGAGGGCCGAGTGAAAGGGGTTTAGAGAGAGATGCGTACAGTAGAGCACGCACGCTTGAAGCTTGGATTTACCAGTAGGGTCCTCGACAAACACGCTACACACATATGCATACGTGCAAAATAACAAGTTAGAACACACACCTTCATAATAATCTCGAACAAGCACGGGTAAAACAAAGTGAAATGTACCGGAAAGAAGCAAGAACACATCCTTATCGGGCACGTGTCAAAAATGGAAGTGACGACGCTCCTTCATCTACAGCTGGGCCCGGGAGGACACACCGTTCCGTGTCTGCCCGTACCGTACGTTATGGCTACATATTAGGAAAGGGAGAGGGGAAATATGGTAATGGGTGGTAGCGGGTAGGATGAAGATGGTGATTTTCAAGATTCAGCATGGCAATGAAATATCTCAAGGTTTCCCAATGACCGTCGTGTTACCATTGGTGAAAGAACTGCGGAACAATTTCCGAAGTGAGCCAGCAGCCTCGAACAAGTTCAGCGTACACACAAGGGTTACCGAGGGCACTCGGCCACTGATGAACGGCAACAACGCTCGTGACCCCGGAAATCGAATTTGGGAGCGGAATCAAACCCGGTCGGTCATCAGTGGACCACGGGCGACACAGACGTTGTAACTGTTGTATGGTTGAGATGCCGTGACCGCTTGGACTGGAAAGCACAACCCGACCCCTGCATGCAACCCTTTTACGAATAGCATCCAAAAGACGAGCGTATCATTGGGAGACGACTACCCATTACTACGAGGGTTAAAGTTCCCGTGTCGCCAGCCGACCAGCAACATGCGTGATTACAAAAATGCAGATGCGCGGGCCTCATGGCCGTCGGTGTAGACAGCAAAATGTCCATCTCAGTTTTGTGCGCGGAGGCAGACGCCATCAGAAAGGTGGACGGGCACTATGTACACGGCCCCAGGTTTGCTAGAGGGAGCTGTACTGTCTCAGTAACCTGGCTTCGCCATCAAAGGGTCAGGGTTAAAAAAAAGGTGACGAGCTGAGTGGGTTGGTTGACCCTTCGGCGCGAGAATTTGACGACCAAGAACCCTAAGTGCAACGAGGGAGAAAGCGAGGAACCGACTGGGGAAGGACAGCAACGACAGCGTGTACGGACGGAGCGGATCGATTTTGGTCGTGCTAGGACTGGCCGCAGCGACACCGGAGCAGCGGCGCCGGAGCACACGGACGACATCGAACCGTGACGCACGGACGAACATTTTGTGTTGTCAAACATTTTGTCAAATATTTTCCATTTTTTTTCCTGAGCGTTAGTGTGTATGTGATGACGTCCTTGGTTTTGTAGAGAGACGCGGCAGAGATGGCACGGATAGCCCGGATGCCTTTATTGTGTACCTGCATCGTGGAAGAGCCCTTCAATGTGGAACGATTTCTCATCAGTGTCCATTATTATCACTGTTGTGTCAAACACAGATGATCAGGGGTAGATTCGGTGATTGTCAATTGCAATGATGGCTTTGGTTGGTTGTTATTTTTCACTTCATGTCCACGGACGCATTGTGACACTTCAGACAGCAGTTGCGCGCCCCGAACTTGTACCATGCCTACCCTATGGTGTTATTGTATTGTACAGGCAGCACTCCAGACAGCTGTACGCTGTAGTTGACATTCATTTTGGTAAAGTGTAGGACAGGGGGGGTGATGCTGCTGTAGTCGAATGTAGTGTGTGGACGGGTACTTCAGTTTTTGGGCACGCAAACGTGCTGCTGCAGGGATGTAGGAGTACCTCTTCGGGCTTGTGTACCCTTTTCTTGCTAATAATAGTTTGAGTGTTGTTTGGATCGTCTGATGGCTCTTAGCATTTTTGTGATCAGGGACCGCGTTTTTGCTACATTTTGGGATTAGCAACTGACACGAGTTTAATGTGAAGACAACAACAACAACAACAACAACAACAACAACCGCGGAGAGGAGGGGCAAGACGGAACTTGTCACGCGCAAAAAAAAACATCGCACAAACAAACGTGATATGCTACAGCTGCGACAGCTGTGTTTGCATTTATTATTTAGGCGTGTTTTCGTCCTATCTACACATGGCTCCGCTCTGCGCCTAGACAACATGCTCCATCACTCCGCGGCATTATGCTTCAACGTACAAAGTACGATCAGCCAACCTATCGCATGAAGTCTAGCCTTGTATCATCAGCAGCTGCTTTATCTACACTAGTAGTTCGGAGAGATCCTCTGCCCCTCGAGATATCAACCGGATGCGTCCCTTCTACTGGTACATGCTAAGGTTGGAAGACATAAGGGGAAAAGAGCGAGCACGATCCCCGTATTTCAACTGAATCGCCGATACTGGTTGTGTTAGGGCGGAGGGCGGCACACCTCAATATCCCAGGATACGCTGATGGATCTCTCTCTACCTTGCACTTCCGAGTGGTATTCGCGAAAAGGTTCAAGCAAGAAAAAGAGAACTTCACTGCTGCTGCCCGAACGGCGTTGCGTGTTTTTGGATCGGACTCCGAGCCACGGCCGGCTCCTCCACCTTGCACAACAAAAGGTTAAGGTTGTCAAGTGAAACCCAAAAACATGACCGACGATCGTTTTTTATTCAGCGCGTGGGGTGCCTGGTTTGTGCCGAGACGCGTACATATTCATTCACCGAACACGAGGGGGTCGCACGGCGAAATGTCGTGTCTACGACCGCTTTTTGGGGGGTATCCACGGCTGGTGTCGGCCTCGCCAAGACGAGGCAGGCTACAGCAGTACACTTCAACGTGGGTGGAGAGGACGTGCCTCTCTTGTCAATCTCCAGCAACAACACTTATCGTCGTTTCGTGCATACAAATAAAATAATCTTGCCGAGGCTGCAACACCAAAACATTGCCTTTTCATAGAACGAGGGAGACCCCCCTAAATAAACTGCGCGCAAGGAGGTCTGCCGCCGTGGCGATGCGGTCCTTCCGACAAGTAACAAACAACCAGCAGTGTCCACATCGAGGGTCAGCCGCCCCGTGACTCTCCTGGGTGTATGATACTAGAGCACCTTTCCCTCACACATTTGAGAGAGCAAAAAATGCATTGCCGCTGCGAGGTACACAAACCCTCTTTGCTTCAAGGAGGAGAGAGGAAGAACCGGGTGAGAAATACCATAGAAATACGGCAGCATGTGGTGGCACAGCAGCAGCAGCAGGTGATCTCGCCGTAATTATACTCCCAATGTTGCTCCACAAACGACAGAGGCAGATAACCAAAAGGCAGCTCAGCAGGGATGTTCGCACGACACGGTCGATTATTCGTGTGTGTATCTCTCGGCCAAATGCGCCCCTGCTTTCACCGCCGATCTTGGGAGTGGTTACTGTTTTTTTCAGTGGAAAGCTGCCGTGTCGTGCCTGCTGGCAATTGAACAACCTGGGCTGGATCCACGCACGTGGGCGAAGCGCCGACACCTCTCCCCAACCCGACACTTTCTTTCGCAATTCAATTCGCACATGCAAGGATTGGAGGCCACCCGCAATCCAAACCAACAACAACAACAACAGCAGCAGCAGGGTTTCTTTCTCGAAACGGAGGAAACGCAACACGGTGCGCCTCTCTCCGTGATCGATGGCACACAGGGTGCAACACTTGCTGAATGAGAATTGCGCAGCAGGCACGCACAGCTTTTGCTTTGCTCCCACAGCAATCGACACAGCTACATAAACACGGAAAAAAAAGCGGTGTGGAAAAGAGAGCCGCCGCCTGCCGTGTGGCACCGAAGGACGCACGATTCCACAAGATCGGAGTAAGGGACGGCCCTGTGCCGCCGGGGGGGCGAACATACCACTGGCGCCCTCCGGCGGGCGCGGAGATGGAAGACGACAAACGCAGGCCGATCACAGGCGCCCGCCTGCGCCTCGAAAAGAGTCGAGAGAGAGAGAGAGAGAGAGCAAAGGTCGCGGGGGTACAAAAAACCAATTGCAAAAAACACAAAAGAGATGCCACCTACAAGCCCGTTCCTATTCGCAAAGGAACAGGTCTGTCTGTCTGTCTCGCACACCTTCGAGACACCAGCTAACCGGCGACCCCTTCTTGCCCTCCGCCGCCTGGAGCACGTTGAAGAGCTTGCTTGCAAAGGTCTGGGGGGCCCCCCGCTTCCCGCCCTTCTTCTTTGCCGGAGGCGCCCTCGCTGCAACCGGGTTACTGCCGCTGCCGCTGCTGCCCTTGCTCTTTGAGCTACTCGCTCCTAAGGATCCACGCATGGCTGTTGAACACAACAAAAAGTGGCCGATGCGCGCTCGCGCCCTCTACTGCTCTGCAAGGAGTGTCGAGAGAGAGTTCAACCTCGTTTGGGAGGACGGGGTCCGCCGCCGCCACCGCCGGTGTGCTAGTTCCTGGTTGTTCTGTGCTTGGGTGCGGTGGTGTTCGCGCGTGCGCGTTTGTGCGTGTGTTCGGGGTAGAGGTCGCAAGGGGTGTGTAGAGGGGGATTTTGGTTGATGATGATGATGCTATGCAAACAGAAAGGGTCGCCAGCGGGTGAGAGAGAGGTTGAAATTGTTTTTCAGGCACGATCCTCCACACTAAAACCAAGTCAAGAGTGTGTGTGTCCAAAACCGCCGGGCTCTTCCAAGACAGGTAGAGATTATATAGGAGTTTTTTAGGGGCGGCGCGCGGCATACACGCGCAAACCGTTAAGCGCACAGGTGTTGTCCGTGCGCTGCTTTTCAGATAGGAAGAAAACACTCTAAATGCGGGGTGTTTCGAGAGGGGGGCGGCAAGACAACTCGTACCGGCCGCGACAGTCTTTCTTCTTCTTCCCCCCGGTGCGCGCGACAAGAGGCACGCACGCCAAACCAGACCAGGAGGTTGCTGACCTCAACGAAGAAACGACACCGCGCTGTGGCAAGTAGCGCAGGGTAGAATTGCTTGTCGAGTCTGCAACCCCATCATCAGTTGCAGTCGGACCACCGGAAATCTAAAGATCCCAATCCTACGTTCTATCTTTTGCCGTGCACGTGACGTCATCAGTGGCGTGGTCTCTCGGTCGAAAAAGGGCGAGAGACACACACACACGCCACTTGCACCTCCCGCTGCTTTTACACCCCAGCAGGGTTGGGCAACCCTCAGCGCCATGCAACCCTGTTTCGAACTGGGTAATGCAGTTTGGTGGTTCTGAACTGCAACTGCCCGCGGAGATAAGTTAGAGACTGTTCGACACACAAAATAAACGGAGATTGTGTGGCATCAATACGTCAAGACAACAGACATCCAACCGACGTTGAGTTTACACCAACCGTACTCTCGGGGTGTCAGCTAGGAAATGAGGTGGTGCATGTCCTCGCGTCTGCTAGATATACATGCAGCTGCCTTGCAAAAGGGCTACTACCAATGAACGTAAAGCCATCATTCACCCTGCACGATAGCACCGAAAACATGAGCAACAAAACGTGTCAAGAGTCTCAAAGCAGTCACGGTAACTGCGGCCGGCCAAGCAAGGTCCGCTGCGAAAACATGACGCGGCCCAACAGGCACGCCCCGGTGGTCTAGTTGGTGCGCTCGACACCTTCTGGGGGTCAGGTCAGGGGTTCGAATCCCGGCGTAAGCGAGCTTTTTTTGCGAAGTGAGTTTTTCTCTCGCTTCCGCCTCTGACCTAGTGGATAGTTCGCGTATACACAGAGGGAAGAGAGTGCTGAACTCTTCTCGCATTAAAGTCGAAGGCAAATACCGCAGGAGGGGAGGGTAGAGAGGGGCTCCTCTGTGTGACCACGGGTTGGAGTAAACGGCACTATTATTGGAGCGCTGATTTGAAGTGAAAACAAAAAAACAAAAAACAAAAACAGACCACCGACACAAGATACCACACCCCCTGGACCGGTTTTCAAAGTTGCCCGATTTTTCTCCACTACTTGTACGAGGAGAATGCGTATGTATGTACACACGGGTGGCCAAAGCAGGTTGTATCTGGTGCACAACCTCCCCACAACCTCTCTAGGGTCAGGTTGTACGCCGACATATGAAGCTAGCCCCGCATCACGGATTGCGTCGTTGGTTCATTCAATAGGGCGGACGGGCAGCGTAGACTACATGTTGTCCAAGGTCGATCCCCAACATCCCAACCTGACCCCGGGGAGGTTGGGCACCACTTACAACCTCCCTTTGGCCACCCGTGCATGCAAGAGACTCATCATGTTTGTGCGTGATGAAAAGATGCGTTTCCGAAAGCTCTCGACGAGACGGCTTCAACGGCGCCGTTTTGGCGCTGCCACTCTGCTCTCTACTGCTGTAGAGTGATGCTGCTACGGTACACGGTAAAAGCGGTGCACTTTTGGGGTCAAATCTTGAGTCTAATTTTACGCTCTTCTTGGGAAAGAACGTGCAGCCTTGTTTCGGTGATCTTCATACATACTTACTGCGAAAATAGAACGGGATCCAGTGAACAGGTTTACGTTGAGTGTGCCTCCCTACCTAGACTAGCAATGTAGGTCTGTAGGTATGCATGGGAGAATCGAGCTTTCTTTGAAACAGGTCCATGGGGCGTGATATCTCATTTCCCCTCCGGGTAGGGTACGCGCTATGTACAAAAATCAGGTTTTGGATTTTTTCGGGGAGGAGGGGGGGGGGGGGGGGGCAGAAGGACAGACCACCGACCGCCGTGCGGCATGCAGGGCGAGACCAGAGACCAGACCACAAAGATATCGAGCGTACCCTATTGGATTCAATCTTCCGTATTTAGTCCGTCCGGCGAAGTTGATGATGGTGCTGCGATTTCCTCATGAATGATGCAACATGATGCAACAATATGAAATGCAAATACAGCAGTATAGTAGACTAAAAGTAAGCGGTTTCGTTCGTGTGGTCAGCAACAGCTCGCTGAAACGGTGCTCCCCGCATACTACTGCAAGGAGGGCTTTTAATCCCTGATCGGAACCACGCCCTTGAGAGGGTAAAACCGGTGGAAGACTGAAGCGGTATATGACAGCATGGTAAAAGATCGCCAAGAAGAAAAGGGTTCAGCCAGGCACACGAACCACGAAGAAGAGACCACACCGCACGCATGTATCATGATCAATATCAAGAGAACGGCGCTGCGGTCTCAGCCGTGTTGTGTTGCACCGCCGATTGTGTGTGCGTATGCGGCATTTCCGAACAGTACTGGGGGGCGTACAGGTGCTCCAGGTCACTGCTCCACGCGCAACGATGAGTCGGATTGATGTTGACATATTGATTTCTCCCTCTGGCTGGCCGTGGGCGAGCACGTTCTATCCCGGTGGAAACTGGGGATGATTTCATCGTTCAATCGGTCTGCGAAGACGACAGAAACATCAGTAATTCACTTCGGGTGATACAAACACACACGCCGTCATCATTTCTACCACAGGGGCTATCCCAAGCTAAGCGGGAGAAGAAGCACAAGGCGAATCCCAAGGCAGTGAGACGGTCGGGCGCTCCACGAAGGGATCTTTCTGGTTATGTTATAAAACCTCGTTGTAGTTATAGCTACTTCAGAGTGGGGGGCACGATAAGGTGCGGCGGAGAGAGGGCAAATATTACTTTGTGTGGGATAGTCTATCCGATGAAATCTACCCGTGGGTGCGTTCGGAGAACCCATGCTACGCACGGCCTTCCCAGCGGTCGTGAGTGTTCTACCATCAACAATGTGCAGATGATCCTCAGAATTCTTCCACCATGATGACCTCGTCATCAACCCCGCCACCACCGACTACCCCTGCCGCTAACTGTTCTCCCTTCGGCGCCCTCGCAGGAATACTTCTACTACTGTCTACTCCCTGCCACGCTTGCCCTACTTCTTCTACCTCCATCGTCGGTGCTTCTCCCCCCGTTGTGGGCATGCTCTTCTGCTGTTTCCTGTGTAGATAACGACAAGCGAGGGGTATACCAACTTCATTATTTTCTCGATGCCAGCTCTCTGGTACCCCGGACAAAATTATTTTCCCATGCAACATTGAATAAATCTCATCGTGTGGTGAGGAAACTTCCTTGGACGACGAAATGGTAATATCGGCAGGACACGTGGAGATTTGTAAGCCCCCCCATGTCGTCATCTCGAGAACTACAAAGCTTGCCACGTGCGGTGTAAGCAATGGTTGCACCTCACCAGAGAGTTAGTCAATAGGGTTAATTCGTTAATTCAGCGAGCTACAGAGAGATCTGCTGAAAGCGGACACAGAGGCCAGCCACGTCAGTCATTGCTTGGCTGTCGTTTTCAGCATGTCGCGCGGATGTACACCGCACACGTTGCCCGTGGTTGGGATGAACCTCGTCGCTTCGTACGATCAGTTCGGTGAACAGCTCGCGTGCTTGGTACTCTGGCGCAACCAACCATACATGGGTTTCGAAACCTGTCCTGGCTATAGCGGGATACCAGGACCTAAGGTAGCATAGTACGCCACACACAACAATCATACGCAGACATCCTCCCGCACAACGTCCGCACCTCTTTGGAAATTGCGACAGCCCAGATCCTAGAGTTAAAAGGCCATAAGTGGGCCTCACTAAAGCGTCCACCCCATCCTCCCCCCTCCCTCCTCCTTCTCCTCCCCCCTCTCCTCCCGACGAATCGCGACATTGCTTTTCTCCACCTCCCTCGTCCGACGAAGCACTAGCCTTGTCCTTGACAAAACATTCACATTGGAAGCGGCGCGCAGGTGTTTTGTGTTTATTTTTCTTGAATTTCCACGAGTAGTCTAACCGGCTCTCATTGACTGACGTCGATCTTGTACGTAGCTGGACAACAAGACGAGGGGGATATTGGAAGCCCGGTCCACTTGTACTATGTACTGCTGGGTGTGTGCCAAGCATCATTCATGGCCGCACTCTTCGAACCATAGTCTAGAGGCGCATTTTCTAACGCCGCCACGCCGACAGAACGGTCGAGCTAAATAATGAATCGAAAGATGAACGACATACAACGTCTACCCCGTGCTGACAACAACACGATTGCTTTGTATAATGAATGGTTATTTCACATTTGTGCTGCGGCTGGACCCAATTTGCGAGACGTACAACATGGAGTGCACGCCAAAAGTTCAACCTCTCGTGAGAAAGGCACAACGGCCTATACGATTCGGGTTGTGAGAGGGGGGCACCTGGAACGCTGTATTTGCACGCGGTTTCAGCGTGGCCCACTGGCTCCAATCTGTGGCTACTCCCCGAAGTTTGGCCAGCTACGCCCATCTTGCCACCTCACTGTCTACGGCATATTCTGTGGTTGCCCTCACATGTCTGAATGTTGCTTCCATTTTCGAATTAGAAAACATTACGAGCTTTCAGAAAAGACTTCGAAAAAATTCAACATTCTAGGCCCTACAAAGCGGACAGAAAATGTAATCCTACTACAGTACAAAGAACAAGTGGCGGGGGAGTGGTTCTCGACCGCAACAATACCCATCACCACCTTACGCTGCGCCCTCGAAGGCAATCGCCTACGTATTCACGTTCAGTCCGTCGTGTTGGTGGTATGTCGTTTGAGACAGTGGGCCAAATTTTCGAGACAAAGCATACGCGAGCAACCATAGCAGTGCCACCCACACCTCAGTGTCCCCCACATCCGACCGCACAGCGGTAGGCTCCTGCCCGTCGTCAGCAAGCTTGCCTTCAACACCGTCCTCTGTCGCCACTTCCGCCGCCGTCCCCATGGCGGTGCTCTCAACCCCACCGCGGCTGTTTAATGCGCCAAGGGCACCTCCGCCACTGGAGTCCCTTATAGATCCATCCAGAAAGTCCGACGTCGTTGTCAGCCGGGGCTCAAACGAAGGTGGCACGCGGCCTTCGTCGGCTCCAGAACCTCTGCGGGGGGTGGGGTGGGTCCTTACTTGTTTCGCTGCGTGCCTCCTCCAGAGAGATTTTTGGGCGACGGTCTGATGCCGGGCGGGGTCGGGATACGCATCTGATACGTGCTTCCATCCAAAAGGATGATGAATGCCGTCGCATGTCTATTCTGGTCTCGCCATCTTTACTTGCTATTGTGGGATGATTCTTCCTTCTGGCCCATCGTGACCCTATGGCACCCGAAAATACGTTCACAAGGTAGGTGGAGACGGCGTATGTAGCATGCGCGAAGAGACCGCATGCTACCTTTTCCAAGGGTAAGTTCGCCAACGCTTGGAATTGCAGTACGCGACTAAATTGGGCAACGGAGAGGAGAACAACAAACAGCAGCGGTACTGTAGCCATCTCAATCGACAGACTCACGGAGCCTTCCCCATTGGATCTGTGCGTTTGATTGTGTGTACATGCGCTGCTTTGCAAATGTCACCCACCCGCCGTTGCGATCATCGTCCCACTCGGAAAAGTGCCCCACGGACGCCTGCGCTGCAAGACCACCAGCGGCGACGGTATTAATCCACCTCGTGGAAGCCCTTTCGGCCAGTTCTTCGCGAGGGGAAACGACCGGGGTCGCTAAAATAGACTTCGCCGTTTGCGTCGCCCCGGCACCGGCTTTCTCTTGGTCCTCGCCCTCCTCCCTGTCGGTCAATGCCGCCTCTTTCACTGCCACGTGATATCGGTCTCCGCTTTTGTCTGGCAGCTGTTTGGCAGACGACATTCTCGGTCTATCCTCGCCAAAGTCTTCTAGACGTTGTTCGTCGACAACAGAGGCATCCGACGAGGAAAAACTGGGCATAGGTCGGATGTGTGTCTTGGCTGGGATCGAGGAGGCAAGGGAGTCGTCGGGTCTCGAAGTAGCCCCATCCCCCGCCGCGTTCACCACAGCAGCATCGCCCGTTCGACTGTGGCTGTTGCCATCGTTGTTATCCCCGCTTCCCTCCCCTTCCTCTTCGTCGTCGGAGAAAGAAAGTGCGAAACTAAGCTGGGGACGTTTGTCCTTTCCAAACAGCCCTACCGCCGCCACCGCCGCACCCGGTTCGCCGGTGCCCCGATCGATTTCCGCACCCGACACGGCGCTCGTGGCGAACGCCCATCCTCCTTCAGCTTGTTTCGTATCCGATGTAGCCTCTGTGACAGCTCGTCGGTTGTGAGGAGCATCAGCACCGGCACCGGCACCAGCATCAACACCGCTGTACGGTGCGTTCACCATTGTGTCGGTCCCAACGCCCCCGTCACAGTCATTTGTCTCCTCTTTCTCTTCGTCTTGTCCGCTAGAATTGGCCAAGACATCGTTGCGGCGGCTAGCACTACGGCTCTCCACCTGGATAACAATATTCGTCGGTTCTCGCGCTTCAGATGCTAAAACGCCACGGGGTACCAGGGACTCGTCGCCCAGCGTGTTGTGCTCGCTGCCCAGAGTACCAGCGGTCGTTGTGGAGGTAGGTCGCTGCCACGACGATACGACTACGGGGCTCTGTGCAGCCACGCCGGGAGTTTCCGGCGCCGGAGAAGGAACGGTGCAAAGCGAGGCACCAGACGCCGTTGTTGTGGCCACTGCCTTGGCAGTCGGTGTCGACAGATCTGCCGCCGCTGCCGTTGTTCTTGTTATCTCTCCCTGACGACAAACACTGTCAACGTTGATGCCGGACACGGCGGTTACCGACGTGGATGCTGCCGCTGCCTTCGCCGCTTCGCTGAACGGTGTCGAATATATCGCGGGTTTCGAGAAACAAGCTGGGCGTTCGGCGTTGAATTCATGGCCTTGAACATTGGAGCGCATGTGGTCGAAATGCATGCACGACGCTTTGAAAATCGCTACCCTCTTCAATCGTAATCCTGAGGTATCATCCGACAATCCAAGTGTAGCAACCAGCAGAGTTACGGTTTACGCTTACGGGGCACAGGGGACCAACCGTCAGAGGTACCGATACAGTGTGTGTTGATCATATACGCCAGGGTTTTGGAGTGCATGTGTGCATGTCTTGTCTCTACTTCGAGGCGTATTCCCCACTCGTCAGCCAATTCTCCGGTTGCTTCTTTCGTACTCTCTGTCTACCTGGCAGATCGCCTGCGTTTGACGGCTTCCCAATTTATCTCGGCTGTCCGCTTGGCAATCGCGAGCATTTCCTGCATGCATGGGACGTTAGGCTCGGTTACTCCTGATAAACGAGGAGGCGATTACGAAGCAACGGTTCCAATCCATGACAACCAAGACATGCACCACGTGACAACAAAATATCCAAGGAATGGCTGCCTGTTTGCGGCTTGGACGCCATGCAGCAACCAACCGCCGTTGTTAGTTTCACTGTCGCGCTACAGTACTGTACGCCACAAGAAGCAATTGCGGCTCAGCGAATTGCATCCTGCCTTCCGGCGACATCTTCGCAGAAAATACCAAGCTGAAGAGCTTCTGTAACACAACTGCGTCCCTTAGTTATGTTGCCAAGGACGCAGCCTTGAGTTTGTCCTGACTACGTCACGTTAGTGGAAAAATGGCCCCCACTACCTTTCTTTCAACGGGGACTCTTTGCGGGTCGTTTTGATAGCGCCCACACCGAACCAGGGAACCGGCACCACACTTCAAGCACCAAGCAACAGCACATCTCACCTTCGAATCAACACCACCACCGCCTCCCCAGCCCAAACCGATCCCTTCCCTCACGCCCCCTTCGACCGCGTTCCCGTCCCCCAACCCCGTTCTTGCCCCTGTCGTATGTGACGCAGTAGGGCCACCACCTCCGCTTCGAGGGGGTTGCCACCGGCTGGTGACGAATGGCGCGGTGCTGCCACCACCGCTGCCGCTACCCCCGCCCCCGATGGCTTGAGAAAAGGACCTCACGCAAGGCTCTAATTTTGAAGGCGTGTCGAGCCTTGAACCACGAGAAAAAGCGGTGGCTTGAGTAGAAGCAGCGCCGCCAGAGCTGTCGGGTCGAGGAAAGGACGACGACAAGCTATGCCCAAGACGACCGCCTTCCATTGACGGAAAGAGGTGAACGCTGCCTCTGGAGCTTCCCGTCTTAGCGTTATTGCTGTTGGCGTTGTTTTCGCGTGCGGTTCCTGCGAGCCGCAGTTCTTTCGCTACGAGCGCGTAGGCATCATCGAGCCCGGTGGCAGCCGTCGATGACGATTCCACCACACTCTCGTGTCTCTTCGCCAACACTTGTCCAAGCTTAGCCTGGTACTCCGCGCCACTCATTCCGGCGCGTTCAGCGTCTACCCCGTAGCTGTATGAAGGGGTGTTGGAGCAATGTGTGTTGACGAGAGGGGCGAGGGGGGAATGACTCCCGGCTGTTGCGTGGGTCGAGCATCAAAAACAACTATTTGTACGCCTTCCGGCGAGAAAAGGTTACGATAGTAGACGGCCGAACAGCGGAGACGGGAACCGTGCGTATTTATTGCCCAGCTGGCCGCTGCCCATATCCCGACCCACCTGCGCGCGCGCTCTCGGAGCTCCCTCACCACCTCCTCTCGTGCCTCCTCTGCCTATATGTCGACCAGATTCCAAACAAGAAGGCAGCAGGTGCGAAGCGGGGCTCGTACTAGGTCCCATGTGTTTACACAGCAGTTCGCGATATACCCGCGACGCTTTCAAAGGGTGGTGATCTCTATATCTCGTACAAGCAACGAAATCTGTTGGACTGTTGTATGCTTGCGATGACGGTCGTGTTGTTGCTGCTGCTGCGTGTGCAATTTCTGCAACTACCTGTCGTGAGGGGAAGAAAGCAGGGTTCCCCTGGATCACAGACAAACAGAACATTATTTCAACTCATCGTTGCAGTCCGCTGACAAGGAGAAGACATGTACACCGGAGTATCATTTCAATCGGTAATCGCAAGCCACAGGGTTCTCTTCGATTGACATCTCCCCTTACCTGCTGCCGGTCGACTGGAAAATGTGCCCCAATCTCTACCCCAGAGGTAAGCCTCAACGCGTGCGCCCCCTTGCCATGGGACGGCTGTGATCCTTCCACGCGTGCCCCCTTTCCTCTGGCAGCCTCCTGGGCGGCGCGATCTGCTCTCCTGCAGGACAGGAAAACAGAGTAGCACAAAGAAGTTTGGTCATATCAGGTAACGATACATAGGCAAGGTGCGTGGTAGCCCGTTTAGGCGTGCGTCCGCAGCCTGAGTTCGATTCCGACGAGTCACAACAATCTCCATGCCCTCTGCTCCTCCCGCAAGGCCACCATCCAGTTGTCGACCTCCGTTCTACAAAATGGCATCTACCCCCGCCCTTTCGAATGCGCATGCCTCATGAGATTTCCGTGCTGAAACGCACGGCCGAAGCCAGCGGCGGAAAAACAACTCCTGACCGAAGGAAAGAGTACGCAGCCAAAGAACGACCGCATCCCCACCGGTGAGCCATCAGCAGTAATTCGTCGAGTCCCCAGCGCCTGATTGGCTGCTTTGGCCTTGGCGGTTGAGGTTGCGGAACTGGGGGCGTGACGGTAGTAATTGTGGTAGTGGTAGTGGTAGTGACAGAGGCCCGCCATTTGTCCATGGCTCTCTCCTTACGACGCCTGTCCTGCTCGCGCAGGATTCGCCTGAGGAGAGCGAACGCGGTTGACATTGGCAGGTACACCCACATGTTGATTCAGCACGTTTGGGCGTCAGGTTTACGGCGAATGGTTTGGAACGGTGCTAAGTCACTGTTGTAGGCCATTTATTGTTCGGCTTGTGCTGCTTCACAACAGTGGACTAGCTGGAGTTGATGGACTCAACAATGACTGCAAGGTTGGACGGGGAAATGACCAAACCGTCATACCATGAAAACAAGCATCCGCCCCTGACACCGAAAAACATATAGTGGGCAAGAGTTTCACTTTGTCGAGCACCTAATGGAGATTATCCCACGCACACGGCGGCGGCGGCGATCTCCATCGCCACCCCGCGGCGGCAGCGGCATCGACGGTGACGGCGATGATGTTGGTGGTGGCGACAGCTGCGGCTGCGGCTGCGGCTGCGGCTGCGGCTGCTGCTGCGGCAAGCACTGGATTGCTTCACCTTTCCGCTGCATTGATGAGGGAGGAGGAGAGAGGGAGGTAGAGAGAGACAGAGACAGAGACAGAGAGACAGAGGGAGAGAGACAGACAGACAGACAGACAGACAGACAGACAGACAGACAGACAGACAGACAGACAGACAGACAGACAGAAGAGAGGAACAGAATGGAGAATGGGCGGGCGGAAAACGACGTTGACACGGAGTGGGTGGGTGGGAAGGGAGGAGAACGGATGGGCGGTAAACTCTGTGAATCCATCCGATGTGTCATGCCTTTGCGGAGTAAGCCTAGTGAGTTTGTAGCCGATTGATATGCCCGAAGACCCCGGGTACGCGCAAACAAACATGGCAGCAGCTGCAACATGAACCTCATACGAAGCCAGAACGAACACGATAATATGTACTACATAGCAAAGGTCATCGGGGGTTCAGGCCATCTGTCTTCATACGAAGACACCATAACCTCGGACGTGAATCTTGATTGCACGGATATCGCGCACACCAGGCAAATTTTCTTTCGGATGACATAGGAGACCTCAGCAAAAAAACGTGGACGTGCGGTCGTCCTACACGTTGACTGCGAAGCGCCAGTAACGATCGCCCGCCTTTACACACTGGCACATCACGCCCTTTAGAAAAACATCGCTTTGGTCACCCTCCTGTTCTCTGTGCTAGGCGCGACGCTGATTTAGTACAGCCTTGACAGCGTGATGCATCCCTGCGCCAAAGTTACTCGTTTCTACTGCGAAGACCAGCTTGAATTTCCTCGATGAACGCCCTATCCTGTCAAGTACTCTTGCCATGCGGCAAGAACTCAACGGCCGAACCTTGAGGTCCTGCACCTCCCTCCGAAGAGCCACCACCTCCAGCTTGAACCGGGCGTGCTCCCTCTCGCGGACGAGCTCCCCGAGTCGCCTCGCTCCTTCCACTACCTCGGAGCCGATGACGTTTTCACCACCCCCCTTATCTTCGCTTCCGGTTCCCTTTCCTCCCGCCGCTTCTTCTTGCTGCTGTGGCGGCGAGGGTTGTTCCTCGGTCGCCCGAGCCTCTTCCCCAGGCGGCGGCAGCGGTGTCGAAGCGGGAGAGTCGTTTTTTACTTCCTCTTTCTCCGCGAGGGGTGCAGTGTCCTGCCGCACTAGATCCGGGTGCCGGCGATCCATGTGCTTTCTCAGGAACTGCTCGGACGAAAACGCCTTTCCGCAGGCCCCGCAAACCCTTGCCACCGGGGTTCCTGACGTCGACGCCCCCCCACCACTGACTGCGGCCCCGCAGTTATGACCCCCCTGCGCCACCCCCGAATCCTCCACAGGAGGGGGTGGAGCGGAGGGCTTGTGGCTTCCGCAAGACGGCATGCCGGCCGCTGGTAGACAAGATCGCGGGTCTTTCGGTTGCGCACCCGGCCCTGAACACCCTCCTGCTCCAGCTACCTCGGCCGGGAGAGATTCCCAGATTGCTCTTGGGTCGATGCCGTACTGTCGGAGAACACTCTGCGGAAGCGTGGAATTGTGCCCGGGACGTTGGTTTCGTTGTCTCGCCGGCTTGATTAGGGATAGGGACTTCGATGTGGCCGAGAATGAATCGATTGTTTGTGGATGTAACCTACTATGCTCTCTGTGTGAGGAATGGGACAGTTTCCCGTAGCCCCGTCTCACGGGGCGACCGACAGCACAAATATGCCCATCTAGAGAGTTGAGATCGCGTGAGAAACTCGTGGAACTTTTTTATACTTCCATCACCAAGAAAGTCAGAAATACTACAGCAGCGAGTTACGACACGCGCATGCGACCCGCCTAGAGTCGTCGGGCTCGTTGTGCTTACCTGGCAAGTATTGAGGACGTGCTTGTGCTGCACGGACTCTCTCTTCATCCTTCTACCGTCCTTGGCCGACAACTCGGCATAGGCCTGTACGTGTCACCCAGCGAGAAGGACAACATTGAGCAACACAAATCGCTAAACATCAAGTGCATTTCAAGAACCCACTCGTCGTGCACCCTCACAGCGAGTAGCACGTTAGAGTTCTGATCCATTTGAAAATAGGTGCTTTCCGGCTCCTTATTTCGGGACTGCCGAGTTTTTTCCCCTGAGCAAATGTTGGGGTAGGGCACACTGTTTATCGCGTAACGTCGTTGATTTCGTCTCGCTTACCATGACCCTGCCTAACGTTGGCATTACCTTGAGACGCTGGTTGTTGTTGTTGGCCGTCTCCAGCTGCCGAACCAGGCCTTGAATGTAGCCTTCCTGGCACTCCTAGAACCATTCCCGAAATGTATCGAAAGAATGACCGTGGAATGGTGATTGGCCCATCGTTGAAGCCTTCTACATAGCTTGCGAGGAGAGCATCGACAAGCCAGATCCGAAAGGACAGAAGAACACCAGATAGAATTCTCTCGGCCTTTATATGCAGTGTACTGTGCACTAACGCATATGTGTCGTTCTTACACAGCCCTCCGCAGGCCAGTGTCTTGAAAGAGCGGTGCCTCTGAGTGGACGGGCGAAGAACAAGAACGAGCAACGACCATATACACGGCACGCGCACAAGGCATGCAATACACCGTTCCCCACCCTGATTTCCCGTTGTCTACATGGAACGGGCAGCGATTACTCTCGAAAGTACGACCCGATCTGAAGCCATCTTACGAGAGCACGAGGGCGAACGGCAATACATTCGACACACAGGCAGAAGTCGGTCGTCCGGTCTCCTCCGGTACTCCCTTCCGCCGGGGGGGGGGGGGGGGGAGCTAATTCTTCGTCAGTTGTGTCCTGCCGGGGGGGTAAGTTTTCATCGGTCAGACGGTAACTACCGTGGTCTCTCGAGTGTTGGTAGGCATGGCAGGGTGCTTTACCTGCACGTGGAGCAGGTACTCTATCGTGAGCTGCGACAGGCGTATGAGCTTGACAGAGAGATCGTCGACTCCGGTCGGCGGTATGTCTTCCGCAGACACCTCACAGAATGCAACCTGGGCGGACATGCACGCACCACCGCAAAGCACCGGCCGGCACAGTGTTGACCAGCGGCAAATTGAAGAACGCACGGTACGCTCCTATTATTATTCGTGGTAGGTCGATATCACAAGCCTGATACACGCCTATCACACGACACAGCAATGTAGACAACCAGACAATGTGTGGCCCTCTCGAAAGGCATTCATGTACGAGCTCGATGCCAGCGTGGATGCAATACAGGGAGGAGGGAGAGGCTCCCTGGGAGTGGACTCGTACGACTAAGACGGTCACGTCGAGGTCACCCTTAGTTTGGCCAGCCCTATACCCGGCACCGGGCACTGTCCAGAATATGGGATAACTTGAGTAGTATTCCATCCGTGTCACGCGGTTACACCGGCCTTACACAGGGCGACCGGCCTTATCCATGTTGCCTTATCCATGCGGCCTTGTTCAGGAATCACTTTTACTCTAGGCACACTTGTTTTATGCTAGTCCGAGGCGGGTTGGTACCAGACGTAAAGTGTGGCACAGACAGCCGGGTTTCAAGGCAGATGGTGTATGCAGGAATGCTCAAGGTGAACAGAATCTTGAGGTGACCTGCGCTTAGTGCGTGCATGGACCATGCTCATGAAAAGGTGATGATGATCAGTCTGAGCCAAGAGTTTCACCCAGGAGCCCGCTTCAGTAGACCTACATTATCTGTGGGAGGATATGTTGTGATCGTCGCACGAACCTCTCGCGTTGTACAACTGCTGTGGTACACAACAACCCCTCACCAAACTGCTAGTTGGTTGCCTTAGGCCAGTCTAAATGGTTTCTCATGGCCTATAACCCTTGCCTCCTACGCAGACTCATGAAGACCTTGCCACCAATGTTCTGATGCTCTTGATGAGTCCAACCTTAATCTCTTGCACAACCGTGCTTCTTGAACGATGTGTCCAGTACAATATGGTGTTCTATAGCAGCATGGGTTGGGCATGGGATCTATGAGGTGTTCTTGCAGATATATAACTTGTTGTTGTGCGGATACCGGAGCTTATCGGATCCGCGTGGTGTGCAAACACTTCACCTCGTCCAGCAGGTCCTGGAGCACCGCGATGTCCACTTCTCGCACGACTTCGTCGACGTCGATTCGGGCTAGCTTCTTCCAGTCGAGCTTTCCGTGCCTGTTGGGAGAGGGATTGGGTGAGATGATTGTTGAATGGCTCGCACCAACGGCCGAGGCAGGACATACTTGATATTGTGTTGACTTTCAGGAAAACTACGTTGCCTTGGTCGTGATCAGTTGAAACGATTAGATAAAAATATGCTTCACTACCATATTCTTCAGTATATCATCGTTGCAACGGGGTGACTTTCGGAAGACGATTCCCCTGTACCAGCATCTTCTACCGCTTCGTAAGCAGGCAGGACATACTGATTTTGAGTTCATTTTCAGGCCTTGTTTCAGGTCTTGGTCATGATTAGTACTGTTTCCTACTAGTAGAAGAACAACGCTTGCCGCCAGAGCCATTCACTCGCTCCATAAGACGCAGTTGCCCCGGTCAAACCCATCAGTAACACGTCGACATTCTCACCCTCCTCAGAGCGGAAAGATGCGGCAACTGCAGCTGAAAACACACACAGACCACACGGACAGCAACCCTTTCCAGATGCATAGAGCTGTTACGTCAACCTCCCGCACATACACAGGCATCGGAGGCAACCAGGACAAGAAAGTCCAGTCTATGTTGGGGGTCAGGGCAGCACGGCGCCACTGGCCACCGAACGTTCAATCCACACAACGGAGGCTGAACTTCTCTGAAGTCTAATGTTATCCAAACCACGGGCAATGTTGTTGATGTGCCTTCTGTGTTCCGGGACGGATGGAGTGTCCTCTCGCGGTGCACGAGCACAACAAAGAACGTACCAGGTAGTGAAATCTATTGTGCCGTCGTGATGGGATCATTGATCGGATACACTACACGCTGTATGCAAGTTGGATACAATGCATTCTTGATATAATCTTGGCGCGAAAGGACCGAAAAGAAACCACGACATCCCTGCTGTTGGCAAGAGAGCAAAGAAGCAAACCGACCAACATCCAGCTGCGCCTCAGTCCCGACTGTTGCAAAAACACCCACCTCTGTCTGAAGTAGAACGCCACGGGTCCGAGTGACACGCCCACCCCTTGTATCTTGGTGCCCATGCCGATTGGTAGCTGCTGCTGCTGCTGCTGCTGCTGCTGCTGCACATCGTTCATGGGGATCGAGGCGCGATGTGATTCGGGCTACAGCATTCAACCCCTGCTCAAAACGGCGAGGATCGCGGGCCAGATCAAAGAAGAGATCCCACGGGTGTCGAGTACACACCTCGTACGACAGGAATTGTTGGTCCGGCCCCAAGGATCCACTGACTTCTTTGCGTTGTCGTGTGTTGCACAAAATGATATTGAACCGCCTTGGGGACCCCGTGACATCTAGAAGATCAAATTACCGGGTACCTGGGCTCCGTGGTTGTAACAGTCTGCCCGGCAAACCAACACACACCCTCACGCCATAGTCTGAACCACGTCATGTCTCCTCTCCCACACCACAGATTCAGTATCACAGCTAAAGGTTTGGCACTACTGCAGTAGGCTCAGATATGGATTATCATTTAAACGGTATTCCGGAGGAGTTTATGGAGGCTGCCCAACGCGTGAATATAGGGCAGAGTTCTGTACACGATCGGTCTCTTCTTGCGTTGCCAGTCCATACATTATTACCTGTGCTGTCACTCAAGTACTTGAACACCTTATACCGAAAGGATGCGTGCACTGCGCTAAGGGCGGACTAGTACAGTCGCTTGTGTACCCCAGCAGCAAGTAGCCGTGCTGTGTTTCGTTCTTCTGGGCTCTTTCACACAATTGGTCGACGGTCGGTCCCGAAAGTCGGATACCCATGGTTTGGAAAAAATCAAAATCTCTCTCAGCCGAGAAGCGATCGCTCCCCTTGCTCGAAAGCACGGTGCTTTACGCTCGCCTTCTTTGCCTCGCCGCGTCGTTCTTCCTCATTTTGCGCCACGTTGTTTTTGGGGTTGGCGCCGACGATTCAATGCGAGAGATGTCTGCTACGGCGATCGATGGTGATGGCCGACTCAAGAAAGAGAAACAACAGCCCTGAGGGGAAACAGCGGCGTAGCGTCCTCCGTTAGACAGGAAACAACACTTGCATCGTGGCACGTTGTGGGACCACCAGAAAGGAAGTTGCCTCGCCATTTGAATCTCTCACACCGACGTTCATTCCATCCGTAAGTTGTGTGCTGGAGATCTACAACAGCAATAATATGTGCTGAAGAGGCCAGGGAAGGTTGAACCTGACAAAACATCACCACAACCCAACAAACAACAGCAGTCAGATTGATTGGCTATCTCCGCATCCCGCCCACCCAATCCCCTACTTCTGCTACTCGGGTATGCTAGGTACGGGAACAACACACACACACGACACGAAGCAGGGGACAAGTCAGTCGGTCGGGTACATAGGCCGGTCTCGCTATCCCACAAGTGTACGAGAGCATGATGAAAAAAAAAAACAAGGGTGAAGCAAGGCTTGTCTCTGGCAACAACTGCTGCCGACATCCCCGTCCCAAGGAGCCAAGCACTCCAGCAACATCACCCGGCGAACGCTTCAGGTACACGCGACACTGACAAAATCGGTACCCACGCCGTAGGCAACCGTTGCGGGGTTCATGGGACATCAAGCAAGGCTATGAGAGACGTAAGAAATTCCCAATAGGTCTAGGAGATCCACATGAGGGGTACGAGGAGGCATGTCAGCAATGCTAAGCAAGGCTTATCGAATGGGATATCAGGCAGCTGTTGAGAAAGAAACAAAGGGTAGGAACGATCCGTCTATCAGGGTGTATCAAGCCAAACAATTTTCGTCTAAAGCAAACCAAGACGGGCGATCAAACAATTCCCGTCTGAAAAAAACAAAAACAAGCGTCGGAACAACCTCCAATTGAGAAGGTCAACCAAAACAAGGGACTGAACAAAAACGCGACCTCCCTTCCTCATCAGCACATCAAAACAGACCAACAACACGCCCCGTGCCGAAGTCGATGTCAACGTCATAGAAACCCGGCCGTGTTGGAAGGCCCGGGATGGTGTTAATGTCGCCGCAAAGAAGGTAGACGAACCCTGCCCCCACGGAAGCCCGCACGTCGCGTACGAACACCTGAATGACCAAGATTTTCAATAGGTAGACGGAAAAAAGACAACAACCAGCTGTGTGAGTAACAATAAACAACTACGAATCAAACCCACGAGAACAAGAGCGAGCGGTATGCAAATGCAAAAAAAAAAAAGTTGAAAAGCTAAAAAACAGGTTCGGTACGAACCACCAAACCTAGCTGTTCGTCGTGCTTCCATTGAATCCACATAGGAATAGATCAACACTCCAGGCCCCGGCCGTCATCGAGTTGTGCCCATGGCCGACGGCAGGCAGGGTTTGACATCGGATGCGCATACTTTCGCATGGCAGAGGTTCGAGAGCGAGCTGTCAGGTCAACCAGTGCCCTTGCGGAAGGTATTTGCTTAAATCAGAAGGAATGGCTGCCACAGCAACGCAGATAAACACAGACTTGACCCTCCCAAAGTCATGACCGCCAGGCAAAAAATGGACAGTACACTTGTACAGAAAACAGCAGAAAGAAACACGTGGGAACTTCCCGAGTCCCGCGGCATGACAATCACAAGACAAGCAAATACATAGTATCCCCGGTTTTCATACCCTGCAAAGAAACATCGACACACAGAAAACAGCTGTTGGGCGTTCGCACAGAGGTAGGAGAACCTCTTCTCTGGTGACGTCTCCACCCCCTCACCGTATGTCCTGACGGGGCCCCCTTAGCCGACGGGTCCGTGGAAAGTGAGTACTGCGTCTTCGCCACGCAAATCGGCAGCTGAAAATTGAAGAATAGGTTCGTCACACACAAAAGCATGTTTGAGTTGAGTACAAAGGCAGCTGCAAATGCAAAACAGATACAACAGAAGCATGTTTGAATTGAGCACAAAGGAAAGTCAAGTTTTAGTTCCGGTAAAGCTCCGGCTTTTCAGGTGACCGGGATGTGGTAAGCCGCAGCACACAAGGGAGCAAGTCAAGGACGAAACGGGGGCAATAGGCCGAGGGAGAAAGATGACAAAAAAACAAATGAGATGCGTTGTTTTCCATGAGGAGATATGTGGCCGCCTCTCGTTCTGTGGACACCGGAACAAACACGGCAGTAACCGGGGATCACGGTGGAAAAGAGGGGGGGTGGGGGGGGGTGGGGCTACTTTGGAATGTGTCTGAGATCATTTATTTTCTGCTCTCTCGGTGGTAACGAGAGGCACAAAGGGCACATTCACAACGAAAACGGCGTGAAAAACCAAAACAATTCAAGCGAGGGGGGGGTAAACAATATGCGGTCCTTCCTTGTGCCCCCGACCCTGCGCAAGCACCCGAAGCCAGCGGTGCGACCACATCGATGTCTTGGAAAATTGAAAGACAAACCCCAAGGATAAGTGGCAGAAGAAACACCATATCCCTATGTGGTGTAACCAGAAACATAACATAAGAGAGGAATACCCTCGGTAGGACACTGAGCACCTTTGCAAGTCTCATTCAGAGATGGGTATAGCGTCGTCCGCTTTTAGCTGTGCTCGCAAAGAGAAAACAAATGCAAACGTCGCCCGTACGGTTGCCTTTTTTTCCCGTCTTCGTCGCCCTGCCGAAGAGGTCGACGCTCGCTAGAAGATTCGGCGTGTGGCAGAGAGACTGGCGAATTCAGTGGTCCGGCAACTGGCCCCGTCGACGCGTATGACCAAAAACACCGCACACACCATTCTGTCATTTAACCCGGATAATAGCCTAGCCTCTCCCGTGACCCTCCCAGCGCGGGGTCCCAGGTCACGGCCTTTAGAAGAAACACGTTCCGTTTCTAGCCCCACTGAGGTTGACGCATTTTCATTGGTCAGCCGGTTTAGCGCCGCCGGTGCGAATACTGAAGACACACACATGACCTTCAGGAGCGTTTTTTTCGTTTTTCATCCGCACTGAGACCGACGAATTCTCGTTGATCGGCCGATCAGTACAGTCGATGCTGCAACTGCGGAGACACGCACGCACACGCGCCTTAGCAAATAACTCAAGCTAGTACTTCTATATTTTTTTTGTCATATGCATATTTTTCTAAGCACACAAGCACACCTTCCCGTATCCGGCTTTCTCGTAAATCGCCACCTTCTCCTCCGCCTCTGGGCTCCACTCCACAGATGCCGCCCGGTACATCTCTCGGCACACGGTGTCCATTTTTTCCTAAGCCGAGAGAGTGGGGGCAGGGAACGGAGGGAGGGAGGTAGTGGACAGGGCACCGTCAGATATCGAAGTGTCGGGGGGGGGGGGGGGGAAACTGCCTGCCCCAAACCTTTAAACCTTTAACCCCCCTCCCCTCAAAAACCGGGCGGAAAACCCCGGGGTTTTCCCCGACCCGGTTTACCCCTTTTTTGGGGGGGGGGGGGGGGGGCCCCCCCCCCCCCAAAAGGGGGAAAGGGGGGGGGAAACCACCCCCAGGGGGGTTACAAAGGGGGCCCCTTTAATTTACAGGGGGGGGGGGGCCCCCCCCCCACGCGCCCCGGGTGTTTTTTTTTTTAAAATTTTTTTTTTCCCCCCTTTAACCCCCCCCCGCCAAAAAAATTTTTTTTTATTTTTTTTAGAGGGCCCCCCCGGGGGGGGGCCTCCCCTGAA